TTTGAGGCAATGGCAAATAATTATTTGTTTGTATGTGTTAACTAGTCATTCTAATACAATTGTTCAAAGACAAGTTTTACAACAATTCACTCAGGCAATGTAAACATACCGTCCTTATAATTATAATAATATGGCAAGCTTGATTAAATGTTTGATTGCTATTGCCAAATCTGTCAAATTAGAAGTGTGTATTAGGCAATAACAAACTGACAATTTTTTTTTTGTATATGTAAACTAGTCATTCCAATTCAATTGTCTACTCAGAAAAGTTCACTCGGGTATATGTGATGAAATTCCAGGATAAATAAAATATGTAATTCTGTAGCATTGTTCATATAGTCTTTTTATGTATTTTATTATTTCATGTTCAATTTGGTAGTCATGATTGTTGATCATATTATAATACAGAATAAGGTCAGATATCGATACAACTTTTGCTGTGGACATGGACATAGACGAGAACCTGGTAGCTTTGGAAGATCACAAGTTAGCAGACCCGACAGACACTGCTTCTCCGTGTAAAGAGGAATTCGATACAGCTGGCAACACTTCGACCCAGGAGGACTCCGATGATGAATCACATGAATATCGATTTTTCCCCTTGTATGTATATACCACTAAAATATATATATATATATATATATATATATATATAACCAGACTGCAAAATCCTATGGGCCGTATTCACAAAGTCTAATTGACCCTAATCAGTGAATAAACTGTGACCAAAAGTGAAATCGGTATTCACGAAGTGTGACTGATTTTAATCTCTGATTAAATCGCTCTAAATCAAGTATTAGCTTGTCAGTAGCTTTATTAGCTTATCTAGCCAGTACTAGTGCTTAATCACTGACTAACTTAATCAGCCTTAGTGGACCCTCTTAGTGAATGGCACTATGTGTCTAATAGGGTGGATGGGTCTAAAGTTAGGACTGTTGTTTGACTCGATCAAATAATATGATGAAGAATTTAATACATGTGTAAGTTTCTCGAACAGCTTGAATGGAAACTTTAGCCAAGTTAATATCAACATTTAATACTAATACAGATATGGGAAACATTTAGTCTAATATACTATTTTATACAATGCTTTTTAATTTGTTACAGCATATATGCTAAAGAAAAGTTCCATGTATGTACAGTTAGTGCTATATAGAGTCTCATATAATTATGTTTGTGTTTTATACACAGACATAAATTATGTTTTAAATGGTAATTTGTCCTCATACGTTTTTGTTTAAGAATTACATGGTAAGAACTTCTAGAAATAATATTTAGCGATGCACGCGTGAATTATTGTATTCTACTAGTAATTCAGTCATTCATCTACATTCCAGTACTATCCAGCAACCAGACCCACTGGCCAAAAAGCTGCAGGATCTCATCGATCAGGGAAAGATTCCAGAGGACTGTATTATGTACAAATTTCTGGACAACACAACATCATATGCTCTCTTGGATCCAAAAACTAAATCCGACTTCAAATGGGATACTGATGTGCTAGAGTTCTTTGAAACGATCAAGTACTTGGGTGGTGAAAGAACTGCAAATTTCATTTGCGGGCCTGGATTTCATGGAACAGGGAGAGGTGGTACAAAGGAGTTCAAAACATATGCTGACTTTAATTTGGGGGGTCCATCTGAGTACGCAACAAGAAAGTGTCATGCTGGATACACAACTAAAAGTGGTGTAATCAAACAAATCCTGCAGTCGTTTTATTCCTTAACGTCTCATCCAGCTGCTCAAGTCTCGCCAATCATCTCGTCTCCTGTTGTGAATGTAATACCTGTCTCACTTGCTAGTGATGGTACCGCATTAAAAGCAGGTTTAGAGTTCGACACAGTTTCAAAAGAAATCGTTGGAGCTACTTTCAACATTGACAAAAGATATGTGGTCGAGCATCCTGACTCGGAGACTGAAGAAATGAAAAAACACATAAAGGAAACCTTGATAACAGAAGTCAATGTAACATACATGACATCTCTAGATTCTGGAGCCAGTATACCTGTAGCAGTTCATTACATGAACAAGTCAACAACCGGAGACCAAATGATTCGTCTGTACACAAACATTGTTGAAATGGTCCAAACGTGTTCGAAATGTCTAACAAACACAGAGTCGTTCGACCATGTTATTGAACATAGCAACTGCAGCAGCTACTGCAATGTGTGCTTAGACACACAAACTGTTTGCCCCAAATGCCGAGAGGTTGGCCAGGTGAGCTACCATCCATCTCTACGAGCATGTGACGTGTGCGTGGAATCAAAAACCAAATGTAGCAAACTAGCTGTTCTGCTGTTGACAAGTGACTGTGAGGAAAAGAACAAGGCAGCACTAACCTATTTTCAGGGTGAAAGAAATACAAACTACAACCTGTCCATGCTCTCTTCCATCCCAGATGCAGTACATGTCGGCAAAAGCTTGAAGTGTAGTTGGGCAAACTGGTTTGTATTGTTTAAAGGAGAGCGAAGTAATCTGGTTTTGCTCCGAACACTTCGTGACCATGCCGAGCCAGAAGTTCGTTCGGTACTTCGCAAGAATCTGACCCTTGAGTGTGTGCGCAACAAAGACCGGATGGCAGTGGAGCCAATAGTGAAACTTACACGACCAGTCATTCTACAGACCCTGGCATCAATTGATAAAGTTGTCCATACTATACTGCCTGAAACCTACAGATTTTGGAAAACGAATGTACCTGGTACCTACCAACACCCAGTCGCTGTGTGTTGTGGCCCTGCTGGCAATCTCCTCGTCATCAACTTCCATCAAACACATGGGCAATTGCTGCAACTCCGGCTTCACAATCCAGTTGATGTGACTGTCCTTAGAAAAGATCTGTCCAAGCCCATTGACGTCTGCTATGCCTCAGGACTGGCGTTTGTGGCAGAGCAAGGACACCGATCAATGAGGTATGTGGACATACAGTGTGCCAGAATGAAAGTTTCATCACTGAAGACAAGGGCACAGCTAGAAGAACAACTCAGAAGCTTGGATATGCCAATCAATGGAAACGTTGGTGTCCTGAGAGAACGTCTCAAAGAAGTTGTGAAAACAACAAAGACCAGTGGAAACCGTGGGATATTGGAGCTGTCACCGGAAGGAATCGTCCCAGCAGCACTTGCCAGCATAGACGATGATACACTGCTCTGTGCTGATGACAAGAAGAAGCAGATCAATTTTATTCAACTTAGTATCACCTGTGTTAGCGTCGGAGGCCAAGTCATGAAGTACTATGACTATCCACGTGGTGTGTTGACTGGTTTGTCATTGGACTCCCGAAATGACATTGTGTACTTGGCAAGTAATCTTGGCCTCCACCAAATTGATGCTGAAGAAGATCGACTCCTGCTGGCCAACTTGTCTCCTGGATGCACAGAGATTTCATCTTTATCTGTGATGGCTGACAAGTTGGTATTCACTGACAGAGGTGCTCGACAAGTGAAGATTAGGTCAAATAAGCAGGTGACGGTCATTGCTGGATCCGGGGAAGAGCACATGCGGGACGGAACTGGACGAAACTGTGGATTTGTTCAAATATACGGAGTCTGTGTGGAGGCCAATACTATATATGTGACAGATGGTGCCTGTGGTAAGGTCAAACTTATATCAGGACTTGGCGGAACGATTCCATTTTTGCAGTCTTTGGGGTCGCTGTACGACACATTTAAGATCCATGTCAAAGGTTGTACAGCGACAGACTGCAGGCTCGATGAAGCAGTCGCAAATGTGGAACAGATCAAAGTGAAGCAACACGGCATCATAAGAACAGCCAAGGAGAGCCAGGGCATCACCCAACAGACCAATGGACCACAGGGTACAATCTCTGCAAAGACTGCTCTCTCCCTAGAGCTATTAGAACATGGGATGAAGAATATGCAGCAATTGGTATTGGAGGTGAACCCTAACTTCATTGAGAACATCGACCTCACTACCTGTCTTACAACAGTTGTGGAAAATCTTCATGCTGTGTCCCACTTCAAGCACGAGACATTTTCAGTCTTGCAATATGCAAGGGATTTTGCCACCATCCTCAAAGAGTCACTGAAGAGAACAACCAAATGGGCTGCCAAGTATTACACACACCCCAAGTCGTACTACCCAGTGCCTCAGTTGAACATGGCTTTTCAGGAAATTAAGTATATGTCACCATTACCTGCAGCCGCGAAGATCACTGTCCAGGAAGAAAAAGACATGAAGGAATGGGCAGATCTTTATCGACCAATCCGCCAAAGGGCAGTGCGAGATGACCACACCAAAGACAAAGCCGGAGTACTGCCCATAGCTGTATACGCCGCCAAGAAGCAAACAGTGTCCAAGATATTTCTGTCGGATACTAGACCGGCTATTGAGGTCGCCAATCCAGGCACGGCTGACCAGACCACAGATGATGACGGCGGCATTGCTGAAGTCGTCAATCCAGGCACGGCTGACCAGACCACAGATGATGACGGTGGCACTGCTGAGGTCGGCAATCCAGGCACGGCTGACCAGACCACAGATGATGACGGTGGCACTGCTGAAGTCGTCAATCCAGGCACGGCTGACCAGACCACAGATGATGACGTTGGCACTGCTGAAGTCGTCAATCCAGGCACGGCTGACCAGACCACAGATGATGGCGGAGGCACTGCTGAAGTCGTCAATCCAGACACGGCTGACCAGACCACAGATGATGACGGTGGCACTGCTGTAACGCCTACAAGACCTATAGTTACTGATGATGAATATGAGACCTCATCAGATGTGTCAGACTATGAGGAGGAAATCATGATGTGTGAGTTCAGAAGTAGGGCTCAACTTACCAGATCTGGTAGAGCTGTGAAAGCTGCAATTAGATTAGATTTATAGAAAGTGTGGATACATGTATAAGGACAGCGAGGGATCTGCATGGATACAGCATCTCCATGACCTCAGTGTGTAAACTCCCTAGACAGTGTAAACTCCATGGACAGTGTAAACTCCCTGGACAGTGTAAACTACATGGACAGTGTAAACTACATGGACAGTGTAAATTAACTCTGGATAGCCTGTAAACTCCTATGCGAAGATTAAACTCCATGGAATAGTGTAAACTTCCAGATGAACAGTGTGAACTCCATGGACAGCTTTGTAAACTCCGATGGACTAGTGTTAAAATCCCTGGAACAGTGAAAACGCCATGGACAGTGTAAACTTCCCTGGACAGTTGTAAACTCCGATGGACAGTGTCAAACTCATGGACAGCGTAACCCATGGATCAGTGTAACTACTACGAACTCATGGACAGATGTAAACTCCATGCACAGTGTAAACTCCATGGACAGTCGATAAACTCCTGCGTCAGTGTAAACTCCTGGGACAGGTGCTAAACTCCCTGGACAGCTGTAAACTGCTTGGGACAGTGTAAAACTCCCTAGACAATTGCTGCCTGTTGCCAGAGTCAACTTTTGTTGTCGTGAGTCAAAATGCATGTTTATATTTTCATGCCATGTAGAGTGATTCATCTACCTATTGGGGTAGCGTCTAATAGGATTAAGTTCTCACATTTAGGTTGAATGTATAGTGTCATACTTGTTGCATGTAGCATAAATTAGTCTCTCATAGATTGAATAGGGTTATGTATTCAAGTATATTAATTATGAACAAATATTGAAATTTGATAATTTTCTTGTATGAAAAGCGTCCTATTTAAATCTGTTGCAACTGTATACTAAATTTTAGTGAGAAATGAAATTATGTACTTGAGAAATGCATGAAATGGCCCAAAATTTATACTGAGTAAATGAGGAAAAGGCCTAAAATTACTGTTACTGGAAGAATTGGGGTACCCCACAGGACCCTCTTCAATGCCGCACTTCGCTTCCTTAATGGCTTACAGTCCTGTATTTTCTCTAAGAAGAAGAATTTTTAGTAACTATCTACATCATTAGATGTGTTATCAATGTTACAATGTTCTGGTTTGCATGGTCAAAGCATTTCTTATTTCGATGGCCAACGGCCTGCGATCTGTATATATTGGACTACATCGTGGCTTACGTGGCGATAGCTGAAGTTCACTTGGTTGCCGGGGTTTCGGGTCTGTACTGACATGATTATATAAACTTCTCTTCACTTAGTTTAATCACTTAAAATGAATAATTGCAACGACTTATGTGTATTGTTGCTGACCTAACAAAAGACTATTCCCTGAAATAAGTTTTTCTTATTGACTTTGCTCTTTGGTGCCAGTGGCACTGGTCGCGATAGTATATCATGTAAAAATATTTCGCATATTGCTTAAATTGTTTTTTCGGATGTTTAGGATCCAAAATATTTTTAATTACGATCCTCTCTTGTTATAAGTATCAATATAGCCGCTTATTTAGACAAATATAGCGATATTCACTTAATTAACTTTTGAAATTCAGAAAAGGACCATGCAATGCCCCACAAAAGACTCGTTAGATGGGCAGTTGGAGTTAACTTGTAGTCAAACCGCCGCATGCAGTGATCTGTACACAAATCACTATGCCAAAACACGGTAATTTCTTTTAGTAAAGGTAGATCAGTATAACAAGCTTAAATACCTATATACCTTGCTAAATATTAATAGCTGTGCATTTTTGCCTTTCTAAACGGGTAAGTGATTTTTCTCTATGTCCTAAGCTACTTGTATAGGCCTACAGGCATACTGGCTTACTGCCTTAGAGTTTAGACAATAAATTAGCTGCTGCTGCTATCCGCCACAGCAGCAGCACCACCACCACCACACTACTCACTACCAAGTACTAGTACGTACTACTACTAGTAGTACTACTACTACTAGTACTAGTACTACTACTACTACTACTAGTACTAGTACTACTACTAGTCGACTGGAGGGGTAGGTTGGTCTATGTCCGGTCGGTACTGCCGGAACGTACCCTGGTATACGGGTGCCGATATACCGGAACGTACCCTGGTATATAATTGCCGGGACCGTACCTATCCTACTCCAGCTAACGAGTCTAGGGACTCGCCTACGCATACTCCCTACCCTACCACCGAACCCTAAACCTAAATCCTAAACCCTAACCCTAATCCTAACCCTAACCCATATCAAATGTGACCAGGGTACGTTCCGGTTATATGCGGACCGCTACCAGGGTACGTTCCGCAGTTACCCTGCGGACATTAGACCCTAGGAGCCACTACTAGTACTCAGGCCGTCAGATTTATGGCCGTTTGCCCGTTTTCCAGAAAACGGTCACAGTCTGGCGTATCTTCAGAATTGACTTTTCTCGAAAATTCACTAGAGGTGCCGACCAATATAGCCTCATTTTTTTTACATTCACCCCTCAGGTGTGAGCTAGAACTATGGCAAACTGGTCACCCAAACCCTCTTGGGGATCTGCTCCACTTTCCGGTACTTCCTTATAACTATTGTGCACTTCTGTCACTACTACTTCTAGATGTGGAATTTTGAGATCGATCTTAGTCCCTCTATTAGACTATCAAGTACTCAGTCATTCAGTATCGACTTAGTCCCCAAGTTTGTCATTCTGAAGGCCGGCCATCTGTCTTAACACTACCATGGGAAGATCGGTCACAGCCGAACGCATTGCTTTATAATTTTGTTCGCGTTTAGCCCCGTGCGCTGCTATTTAACAATTAAACTTTATTTGCACTTTTTATAGTGATTCTTACAGCTTAATCTGTACTTCCACGCCTCGATGTATTATTAATGTTGCGGCTGTATGCACGAGCAATACCCAGACTCTGTAGTCGTTACATCTCAGGTTTCTGGCGCAGAATGCCCGTGTAAGTTGTTTTGCATAAAATTGCAAAATCACTGGCGCTGAAAATCTGCGCGAATTAAAACTCAAAACGCGCTATTTCCCATAGAATTATTCTCATAATAAGTAGCGTAAGTTCGAGTGAATTTTTGCGTACAAAAGAGACATTTGTAAGAAACAACCAGATGGCGTTTCTTACAATCGTGTCAAATAATATAGCTCCTGGCAGCTGTGTTAAGTACCTAGCGTTAGTCTCTACGTTGTGTTCTGGGCCGCTAGTTGCCCCTCATAGGTGTGTTCCATCATGTCCGCATACGTGGTGTGCGTGTTAGGTTTGCACGAGGGACGCTGCAACTACTATCTTGCCGGAGACGTACCCTGGGTACGGGGTCTAACACCGGAGTTTTTTTACCGCTTGGCGAACGTGACCTGAGCTGTTTTTCCAAAGGTCACCTATTTGATATGGTTCATGGGTTAGGAGATTAGTGGTTTAGGTGTTGTTGTCTGGATGTCAGGGGTATACACTGTAAATGTTTTTATTGTACGAAATTCGTAGTTTGTTTTTTTCAAGCTACCAGGCATTATCGTATGAAGGTGGAGGTGTGTCAGGCTCCTCCGCCGTTGTTTTTTGTTGTATGTAACAGCTCGGAGGCCTGGTCGTTTAGTTTAGTACTAGTACTGACTATTACTACTACGAGCTACTTTCGAGTGCTTGTAACATGTCAAGTCACTGGACTCCGACGCGAGAGGCGATTCAAATCGCAGTTTCTTTGTTGACTCGACTGACTCGAGTCGGGGGAACCCCGAAATACTTGACTTGACTCGAAGTCACACTGAAAATAAACTTGAACTTGACTCTGACTCGAGTCAATATACGCAGCTATTGTGTTCAATATCAGCCGAAAGAACAGACTCGAGTCGCCGTTTTGAGACTCTTAAGCTTTCTAAGTATATAAGCTTAGTGCATGCAAGCCACATAGATTAATTACGATCAAGATGTCCCATAATAGAAAGTTAGGTCTAAAAAATTTGATTTGGGATCAAATACGTATTTACAGATTAAAGCGATTATATTTAGCGTTCGGAGTTATGGGTTGGGAGTTATGTTTATGGCGGATCCCGTAGACTCTGTTAGTGGAGTATGGATAGGTACGGTCCAGGCATATAATAATCAGTACCAGGGTACTTTCCGGGTATATCGTGACCGTAACCAGGTAACGCATTCCATGGCAGCTACCCCGGCTTGTTGACTGTGCTTAATATTTATTTCACTTAAGGTTTAAGTCTGTTTTAGGCTTTCATCTGGAGACAAGTTTTAGAGTCTCAGATTTGCACGCTTTTCTGTGAGGAACATATACGGCTAGTAGTACTTGGAAGTTCGTTACGTGACCGTTCATGGGGTCCGGTGTTCGTAGTAGTCCAGGCTACTAGTTTACTCAGTGAATGTAACACAAGTTTTTAGGGTGACTACAAAAGTTCTTTTAATACTAGCCTGTTCAGTGGAGTACGGTACTTGAGTACTACGGTGAGTAGTGTTAGTGGTCGGTTTCACCGAGTATGTTCGAGACGTGGAGGGGGTGGTAGGGTGCTGCTTGCTTAGGGGTGGGCTCAGGGGGGGGTTTTTAATTTCGGAAACGAGTTGCTGACTCGTGTTCGAAGCTTTTGCGGTGCGTCAAGGCGGTCAAAGCGTCAAGGGATAGCAGCAGCAGGCCTAATGGTTATTTTGTCTTAATTACTAAGGCGAGGGTAAACCAGTAAGCACTTTTCTCCTTTTAGAGGCCTACTTACAGTTAAAGCTGCGTAGGACAATTTAGAGAAAATCACTATTCCGTATATTGATAAAGGCAAAGATGCAACAAGACAGTCGCTGTAATACTTTAGCACAAGAAGGGTATTTCAGGGGCACAAATGCGTATTTCATTACTATAGTATCGGTATACTATCTTACCCTTTTCAATAAAAAGAAATTACGCTGTTATTCTGGTGGCATGAGTTATTTGGGTGATTAGTTTGGCTGTTACGTAATTAGAGGGGCAATCACTGCATGCGCGGGTTTGACTTACATTTAAATTGTTAAGGGGAAAAGTCCATAACTGCCATGTTCGTGCAACCGAG